CACTCTCACACACACACACTCACTCTCACACACACACACTCACTCTCACACACACACACTCTCACACACACACAGACACACACAGACACACACAGACACACACAGACACACACAGACACACACACACACTCACTCTCACACACTCACACACAGACACTCTCACACACAGACAAGATCTTCTCCATGTAGACCATATGAAGTAGACTACATGAACTACAATCCTTGACCTTTAACCCTTTAGGTTTTAATACTTCATCTCAGCGACCCTGAACATGAAAACCAAGAGCAGCATTAAAATCATATTTATATTGGTGGAAAACAGAAAAAAAGTCAGCAAAATGTGTTTAAAACCATTTTTAGTTCTAGTTCTCCAAACGGCCATTATCACCTGAAAGCTTTATGTGAAAAAAACAAAACAAAAAAAACATGATTGATCAATCCACAACAAAACTGATTAAAATAAATAACCATTCCTTGATTCCTCTGACTGTGATTAAATAATTCAGCAATAATAATAACAATAATCAGACAGAACTGCACATAAATGGAAAGATGCACTGTAGTGGCGGTAATGGAGGAGGCACTGAGGGCGCGTCTCCGCTTTACAACAACAACTACTTAAAAATATATGTTTATATATATATATATAAACATATATTTTTAAGTAGATAAAATAAAAGTAAAAAAATTGAAATAATTTAATATTATAAATATCAAATTATATATTTATATATATATATATAAAACTAAAAGTTACTATTTAGATTTTAATATATAAAAATGTACAATGTATTTAAAAATATTAAAACTATATATATAGCACAAAATAAAAAAAATTATATTAAAATTAATAGATAAATGACTAAATATATATATATAACTAAGATATTTGTAAAAATATATACTATTCCTTTATTATAATTATATATATATGTTTATAAATATATGTATTTATAATTTCAACTAATATAAAAATAAAAAGTATATATATATATATATTATATTAGTATAGAATTTTCTATCAAATGAAGCCTAAAATTAAGCCTTTTTTTTGTAATTCTCATAATCACTGGTGTTTCTCTGCTGTAATACAGAAAAACGAACGCTCACCCATACTGAGGTCCGCCATCATTGACGACTCCCAGCCGCGCTAACTGTCTCTTCAGATCCAGCTTAAAGCTGGCGTTTATCCTGAGGAACAGCATCTACACACAAACACACAATAAACACCACAAGTTTATAGTCTCGGTTCACGCTGACGGCTCCAGCATCACATGCGGTGTCTCACCTGCGTCTGCTCCTCCGGTAACAGCTCATAAATGGCCTCGTGCATTTTGGCCATCTGTTTACACACGTTACGCAAACACGCAGACGGCATCGGCGCCTTCACCTCATACTGCAGAGAACACACACGGTTCAGCTGTGATAACCCACAGTAATACTACAGAGATCCAAACCCACCTTAGACAGAGCCTTCTCAAACATACTGTCCATGATGGCCACAAGTTTGGCAGAGATCTCTGCGATGTGATCGTTATAGTCCTGAAGAGAGAGGAAGAACAGAGTGTTAGCAGTGTAAAACGGCTGTCACTGTGTGGTTTGTGGATGTTTACCTTGGTGATGTGGTCGAAGTGTCTCAGTATGCTGTACTGTCTGGGCTGCAGTCTGGTCTCAAAGTGTGCTCTGATCACAGGGATGTAGTGAAGCACCAGCTGAAGACAGCGAGACGCAAGAGCTGAGGACACACACACACACACACACACACTTTTGAGACTGTCACACATTTCAACTGTAAAACAATAACTGCAAGTTTAAAATATTAAAGACATGTTATTTCAATATGTACTGAAATTGGTTTATGAACCGATATATCAGTATATATGAATTAGAGGTCAATGGATATTGGATTTTGCATCTGTTTACTGAATGTTGAATAATGTCTTTGCTTTACATTGAACTATGTTGAATTAAATGCCAGATAGAGTTTATAGTGCAACCAAAATAAGATTTTATACACAATGCAGGACTTTTAATTAGAAACAAGCCTGAAATGCACTAGGACTCTTATTTTGAAATGTATATGTTTCACTATTTGCGCATGTAAAAAGATGAGAGATTAAATATGCTCTCATACAACAATCTACAACACAATACAATATAAACGCCATAATTCTTCAACAGTGGATCATAAGCGATTTTTTGGGCATAAATGTGCCCAAATGTAAGACCTCTTACAATGATAATTAAGACTTTTGTTATACCATTTAAGACCTTACATTTGATCAAATTAAGATTTCTTTAAGGACCCACAGTAACCCTGTGATAGGCATTAGCCAAATCAAGTTTTGCTTTCAGATTTAGGGTTGTGCTTTAAATTCAAATACCATCACTGCATCTACGAGACGCATCACGTGTGTTTTCTTACCCAGGTTTCTGGTGGTGATGGTTTTCAGGCCGACCACCTGCAGAGCTCCCGCCCCCAGCACCAGCTGACAGCTGCGAGAATTGAAGTGCTGTTGTCATGGAAACAAAGCACAACCTGTCAGTCAAGTGATGTCACAGTGGAGTGTGCAGCTGAACAAACTGACTGCCTCTCTAACACACACACACACACACACACACCTTGAGCAGGTCGGCGAGGCGCGTGAGGATGTCAGTGGTGATGGAGGGAATGTCATTCACACACTGGCAGTACTCCAGAAACATCCGGATCAGCAGCAGCACCGTCCTGTCAGAGCACACAAAGGTTAAAGGTCACAATAGGGACAGGAGGAGAAATTAGGGGTCAAATGAAGTTCCAGCACTGAAAACTCACCCGACCACAGCGTACTTCTGCCCGTCGACGCACAGAAACTCACTGGGCTTCCTGTCCTCAGACCCTGAGACATGAAATACATTCATTACACTCAATTAAACGCCAATAATACACTGCAATTATAGAAGACGCAGGTGTGTGATCAGCAAAGCTCAAAAAGGCGGAAAATTGAAACACCCCCACTGTATTTACAAAAAGAATTATTATTATTATTGTTGTTAATAATAATAACCTATTGTACGGTAAAACATTTTTATTAAAAAGCAATTTACAATTATTATTATTATTATTAATAATAACACCACTGTACAGTAAATATTATTAATGTTGTTGTTATTCATTATTCAAATTAATAATAATACTAATAATGACAATAATAATAATTAATTTATAGCCTAATACAGAAATCTGTATAAATATGGAAAAAAATGTTTACTAATTATATTTATTAAACTTAAAGGGGTCATGAACTGCCCTTTTCTTTTATTTTGTACTGTTCTCTGAGGTCCACTTATATTGTTATCAAGATTTTTACATCATAATTTAGAAGTAGTAGGCTATTTTACGGAAATCAGTGTAAATATGGAATTATTTGTAAATATTAAATTGCAACAGTTTACTACCTGTGGGTCTGCGCTCAGGCAGTGTGATGCGTCCATCAGCGATGGAGTCGACCAGATCCTGAAACTCAGCCGGGACCTCGGCCTGCTTCCACCGCTCATTATCCAGCAGCAGACTGCACACACGTAACGAACCGGAACTCATTCAGTTCTAACTGGAAGCTCACAGCTGTAAAATCTCACTCACTGAACGCATGAGTGCAGCTGTACCTGAGTTTAGTCTTGCGCTCCTCGTGGAAGCGCTGCACGAAGCGGTTGGCCTGACTCTGCAGCGCCCCCCTTAGGCTCATGCTGCGCCGGCCACACAGCTCCTCGGTGTCTCTGGCGAACGACTCCACCGCTTGACTCAAACACACAAACTCTGATGAGCTCAAGCGCTCCAGAGAGCCGTCCTGCACAACCAGACTGACATTAACAGCTGTGTTTCGTAATGTCAGCATTCTGTAACTCGTACAGGTGGAGGCCAACTCGTCATATTTGAAGGAATTTTGAAAGCAGCGATCCGCTAAAGCAATCAAACCGGTTGTGTGTGTGTAATGCTAACTCACATCACAGCAGCGCCCCCTATGGGCAGGGAGGAGGTAGTGTTGGAGTTGTGTTCCCTGCTGGAGGAAGATTCGGTGGTTGCGGAGGCCGAGTCGCTCCCGCAGGTCTCCGTGTGCGTCTGCGCTCTCAGCTGCGCATGTGCTGTCGCGTTACTTCGCTGCTCCGCTTCATTCAGCGCATCGCTGATGAACAGCCCCTCGTGAGTGAGATACGCGAGCTCCGCCTCTCCTGAATGAAGGGCGGGGCCTCCAGACTCCTCCTCCTCTTCATCCTCCTTGGTCCTGCCATCAGAATGATTGGTTGCCGAGGAAACGTCTGCTAGCCGACTCCTCTGGCTGCTGTCTAGCACCTCCAGCACCACGTTGCGGATGACGCTGAGCGTAGCCTGAAACAAACACGGGTGAGTTTGCATTGTGGCGGATCACTGCATTACTGAGGAAACGTTTCGACTGCGACATCTAGGCATAAAGTTCAAGTTCACCCTGCAAAGAGTCTAGACATATCTCAATGGTAATGCTGCTTTAGCCTTACTAGTGTTGTTATTGTTAACAAAAATTGAAACTATTAAATACTTTTTAGTAATTAAATTAAAGCTAAAAATTTTAATAAAATATTCAAAATTAAATATACAAAAACGAATATAATATTAAAATATATTAGAAATATTAGAAAAATATATATATATTTTTTAGCTAAATAAAAAATATTTTAAAAAGATATTAAAAATGGCAAAATTACAAAACAAAATAATGAAAACTTAATCAAAATAAATAGCCAATGAAAAACTACAACTTGAACTAAAAATTAAAGTACTAAAATGACTAAAAGTGAAATAAAAATTAAAGCTAAATATAAATATTAAATACACAAAAACTATAAAAATTACAAGGACGGAAACATAAATAGGTTAATTCTAAATATTAATAAATACTACAATAGTATATAAATAATATTACAATAACACAGATCCTGCCATGCTATTAATGCATCTATTACATTTATCATAACTGTTATGAAACAACTGCATTCTCTATTAGCACGATAATGACTATTGTTTACATTGACTAATAGCCTGCGTGGCCCGGGTGACGTCAGCCAAAAATGAAAGTTGTTTCAAAGGCAGAACTGGTACATTTTGATGAAATTTTGAAACAAACACTGTTTTATTTGCTATAACAAATTAATAAAACCAGCAACGTCAAATAAGTGTGTATTTTGATGTTGTGTTGACCAAGTGAAGCTTTCTGAATGTCAGTGAATGCTCATAAGGTGGTTTATAACGCGTATAGTGCGTTTCGTCAGGGTTTTTCCACTGCAAGTCCAGAAGAATATAAGTTATGTTACCTTGATCCTCTTGAGGAACAGGATGAAGTGTTCAAAAATATCCAGCAGCAGATCAAACCACTGATGAAACGTCATCAAGCGCATCTGCTCGTGTAATCTACATCACACACACACACACACACACACAGACACACAGTCAGCTGTGATAAACAGTGTTATTATCAATGTTGAAAACAGTTGTGCTGCTTCATATTTTTGTGGAAACTGTGATACATGTCTTTTCAGAATTATTTGATGCATAGAAAGTTCAAAAGAACAGCATTTATTATTTTATTAGATTCGATAAGTTTAATGCATACTCCTTGAATAGAAGTACTTGTTTCTTCAAAAAAAAAATCTTTCTGACCCCAAACCTTTGAATCATCTACATCACACACACACACACACACACACAGACACACAGTCAGCTGTGATAAACAGTGCTGTGATAATTTATACTAAACATATATATATGTATATATATATATATTTATAACTCACTTGACAGTGTCTGCATCGATCTCACTGATCTGCAACACAGACTTCACAACACACTGTGGGGGGGAAAAAAAAAAAAGAAAAAAAAGAGAAGTCATACAAAGAAACATTCATTTTTGTTTCGATGTTCCACTTTTCTGCTCCGTCTCGTGTTTCTGTCATGCGGTGCACCTGTCGAACGATGTTCTTGGCGGCTCGGATCATCTCCTCGCTGTAGATGTCCAGGAAATCCAGCTTCCTCTGTCTCAACAGGCCAAAGACCAGAGACTGCAAGCGATCCTGTAATGAATACACACATAATCACATCACGAGCAAATGAAAACATCAGCCGTAACACATGCTGCTGAGATGATCTTGATTTGATTTCCAATTACAATAAATCAGACTTAATTTGTCATCATCTGTGGTTTGGTACTTTCATTAAGGAAATTAAATTGGATCGGCGGTTTAGTCAGGTTCGTTGGCGTGGGATTTGGAGCATTACATGACCAACCTTTCCTGATGCTGCAGGCTGCTCTGTGACCTGTATGAGAAGATCTGACACTGTAAACCTCAAACCAACACTGGCCCACATCCAACACAAACATGACCTGATTTACAGAGCACAGTCTTTGCATTTATTTCACACCTGGAAACCACTGTTGTGGTGTGCATGCAACACAATTCACGTTCAACGACATTTACTCGCGAGTTCCGTTTCACGTTATGAATGCCAGAATGCCTGGGTTTTCAGATGACAAAAAAAAGTGTTGATTTTTTTCTCTATTTCTTGTTCAAAAGTTCAGGGTCAGTGGGTGTTTATTTTAAATGAATTAAACTTCTATTCAGCAAGGATGCATTAAATTGATCAAAAGTGACAGTGAAACATTTAGAATGTTACAAAAGATTCCTATTTCAAATAAACGTTGTTCTTTTGAACTTTCTGTTCATTAAAGAATACTGAAAAATAAAATGTTTCATAGTTTCCACAAAAATAACAAGCAGCACAGCTGTTTTCAGCATTGATAATAATCAGAAATGTTTCTTGAGCAGCAAATCAGCATATTAGAATGATTTCTGAAGATCATGTGACACTGAAGACTGCAGTAATGATGCTGAAAATTCAGCTTTCAGCACAGGAATAAATTACAATATCACAGTTATTTTAAACTAGAATATTATTTCACCGTTTTTATATTTTTTATCAAATAAATGCAGCCTTGGTGAGCAGAAGCAACTCTCACTGATCTCCAACTTTTAAACTTTAAATAAGAACATCTGCATGCATTTAAACCTTTCTATAAATTGAATGCATTTTTGCAGTTTGGTTTCGATAAATGCTCTTTTAGGAAGAAGTTTTGTGCTGTGAGAGTTATGGTATGTTGTCGCAGTACAACGAACTCATTTATTTCAGAAGATAAAGGCACATTTGATTCCTGGTGACATGTGAAAGACGCCTGACCTTCTCCAGGACCTGACTGTCCTCCTCAAAGGCTCGATTGAGATCACTCTGAGTGTACGTGGAGAAATCAGCCACCATCATCTTATCAATCAACCTCTCCATCTCACAGAGCTGAGAAGCCAAGTGTCTGCGGACAGAGACACGAACAACAGGAAATAAACCACATGCCCACCACATTCTTATTCTTCTGTAAGTATGTTCCCTGGTAAATGTGTGCATGTGTTTTTGCACCTGAAGCTGTGAATCCCCTGCAGTTCCTGCTGCAGCACTTCTTTGGTGGTGGCGATGAGCTCCAGCGCCCCCACGAACTCTGAGGTGGAGAGGAGCAGCTGCACCGTGGGCTGCGTCTGGTGCACGGCGGCCATCAGCTTGAGTTTGTTGTGTAGCTTAATGCAGTTGTTGCGGGTCAGAGCATTGCGCAGTGCTCGGAGCGGCCCTCGGCACATCACACGGTCGATGGCGGCGGTGCGCGCGCGGAGCTTGGCCACAGCGTCGGCCGTTTCTCGCAGACGGTCCTGGAGCTCGTGCTGCGATGACATGGCATGGAAAAAAGCCTCGGAGCGGAGAGAGATCTGCCGAGCGATGCTCACCTCCACCACATCCAGATAGTGACTCAACTACAGAAAAACAGACACCTGTCGCATTTAGAGCCTTTCATTATGGGATGTTCTGCCAGACTGTTTACTTCATTTGTAAACAATACATCAAAATGAATGCAAACTGGCATATGTGACCCTGGAGCACAAAAGCAGTGTTAAGTCGCTGGGGTATATTTGTAGCAATAGCCAAAAAAATACATTGTACGGGTCAAAATGATCGATTTTTATTTTATGCCAAAAATCATTAGGATATTAAGTAAAAATCATGTTCCATGAAGATATTTTATAAATTTCCTACCAAAAATATATAAAAACTTAATTTTTGATTAGTAATATGCATTGCTTAGAACTTCACTTTAAAGATGATTTTCCTCAATATTTAGATTTTTTTGCACCCTCAGATTCCAGATTTTCAAATAGTTGTATCTCAAATTTCAAATATTGTCCTCTCCTAACAAACCATACATCAATGAAAAGCTTATTTATTTATCTTTCAGATAATGTACAAATCTCAATTTTGAAAAATGTACCCTTATGACTGGTTTTGTGGTCCAGGGTCACATATTGGTTAACTAAAACCATGAAAAATATGTTTGTTACTCAAAATAAAATAAACATTAGCTGAAATTTTTTTATTTTTATTTATTTCAGCTAGTTGTCAAGGCAGCATTTCTCATTTTGATGTACTAAAATAGCATAAACTAAAACTAAAAAAAAAAGAAAACAAATCAAACTATATAGGCATATTAAAAAAATAAAAATGACAAAAACACAACAAAATTACTAAAACTTTAGCTAAAAAAAAAAACGAATTCAAATAATAATATTTTAATGATACTCAAATAGCACTGATTGGTAGTGACGACTTATGGTACTAAATAATGACAGATTTTATAATAACGGCACCTTTTCCTGTAGTAACCGTGACGACGCAACATCTCTGCTGTTCTTGCCCCCGGCTACGCTGAAGTGCGACCACGGCAACACAGCGTTAAACGTGGCTGGATCATTCAACACAAACTCAGGCTTCATGAACATCTGAGGGAGACGAAGAGAAGATGATTAACATTTTTGATTTTCATTTAAATAAAATGTGATGCACGCTTTTCCAAGTCAACAACATTTCATACTTTGGTTTAAAGCAGATCTATCTTTGAAAGACGTCTCTTCTGCTCACCAAGGCTGCATTCATTTGATCAAAAATACAGTAAAACAGTAATATTGTGAAATATTTTTACAATTTAAAATAACTGTTTTATGTGAATATGTTAAACTGTAATTTATTCCTGTGATCAAAGCTGAATTTTCAGCATCATTACTCCAGTCTTCAGTGTCACACGATCTTCAGAAATCAGTCCAATATGCTGCTCGAGAAACATTTCTGATTATTTTCAATGTTGAAAACAGTTGTGCTGCTTCATATTTTTATGGAAACCGTGATGCATGTTTCAGGATTCTTTGATGAAAATCTTCTGTAACATTATGAATGTCTTTACTGTCACTTTTGAACAATTTAATGCAGCATTGCTGAATAAAAGTATTAGTTTCTTCAAACCTTCCCAAACTTTTGAACTGTAATGTATAACTCATGGTAGGTCTGTACTTCATTTTAAATAGCCATTTCTGCATGGAGAAACTAAATGTGAATTTACCTTGGGCACCTGCTCCAGTTCAGCTCTGGCTTTATCTACAAGACAAATGAGCCACAAACACACATTTCAGAAGCAAAACCGGTTCATCTGACTTCCTCTAAAATAATAGAGAATGCTTGTGTTCTGATACCCTGATGATGGCAACTTAGTTCAATGAATCGTACCGTGATTATTCGTGATGGTGGGCACTGACAGATCGTCTTTGTTCAGGCAAATGTTCTTACAGCGCTCGTGAATCTTCTCCCTCTGAGAGACACAAACAAACAGCCAGCGTGAGATCCTTGTGTACGACACCCTCGACAGCAACATTTCCAAAACAGATTCTGACTTTCCAATCCCGGTGCGCAGAACAGAGCCAGCTGACAACTGGAAAAAGATCTTCTTGCGAAGGAAACGCAGAGGCTCATTCTTCAGAAGCATCACAGGTGGAAAACCAGAGTCATGTAACCTTCAGAAAACCACAGAGACAAACAGCCTGCCATCGTCTTGAGCCCAGTCTGTGTTCTCACGAGTGTGCGAGATAAACACAAGCAACCCAGACAAAATAAATACTTCTCCAGCTTAAGAACTGACAGGGAACAGAACAAGACCCTCAGTGTCTATTAATACACCGCGAGGTTACTAACAAGACACACACACAGGCCTCCAAACCCTAGTGAGATGCCTACATAGACAGCAGCAGTCATACATGTGCTCCAGAAGCAAAGCTGGCTTTAAAATGCTCCGTTTTAAAATGGCCTATTTTAATCAATATTTGTGCACTGACTTTGTGGTTATGATTATTGGCAGTATTATATATATTTATACTATTATGGTATTTATAAATATTTTCAACTAGATACTATTTCCATATCTATTTGTCTTTAATTTATTTTAATTAAATTTTAGTATGTGCTATATATGTTGGTTGTGTTTAGTGGTAGTGTTATTTTAGTAATATTTATATACTATTATGGTATTTATTTATATATTTTTAAATTAGCTTTATTTTTATATTTTCAGCTTTTATTTTAATTTTAGTTTTCTATGTGCTTTTGTCATTTTTGTTTATATATATATATATATATATATATATATATATATATATATACTTCAAATTAGATGTATTTTTTCAGTACCAAGTAAACATCTCATTTTTTTTATATACGATATTATTTTAGATAGTCAATATAATTTTATTTCAGTTTCTAATTTTTATTTAACTTTTTCATTTTTTAAGTTTTCTTCATCCATATTCCATTCATGTATTTTATTTCACCCTTATTTAGATTATAAAAAACGATTTTAATATTTCTAGTTGATAAAACATTGGTGCTTATTGGAGGATCATAAGCATCAATCACTGCCAAATCAGTCACATTATGAGGTGTGATGATTGTTATGATCCTGTCGATGCAGCCAGTGAAGCAGTCGGTTTCAGAAGGCAGTGTGTGAATAATTCAGCTGCTGTCACCTGAGCCGTCTCCTGCAGGTAGGAGCTGAAGTGTTCTCGGTTGATGTTGGGCAGGTAGAATGAAGGCATGACGTCGGTCTCGGTGAAGTCCAGGCCCCACGTCTTAGTGAAGAAGTCCGACTCTCTCTTGGTCAGCCTGGGGTCATTTAGGGCCGCGGGGAGGTTCACTTTAGAGTTATACACAGTCCAGCGGTGCTGGTCGGCCACAACGGACGGCCCGTCACAGAGACCACGACCCTCGCCTGTTCAGACGATGATAGAGAGTCAGGAGGACTGATTTTAGTATTTACTTAAAAAAAAAAAAAAAAAGTTATTACAGTCAACTAAAACCAGAAAAAACTGTAACTTAAAAGAAAATAAATGTTAACTGAAATAAGTAGTAATGAACTGAAAATAAATAGAAATAGAAATAAACAGAAAATAAATATTTAAAAAAATTACAATAATAAAAAAAAACATTTCTAATTTTTTTGACTACTAAAACTAGTCAAATAGTTTTTGGTAAAAAGGACATATGACAAATGTTGCCTAGGCAAATAATGGTCTCTGAAATAAAATGTTTAACTTGTAGTACTAAACTAAACTAATTAAATTTTAACTTAACTTAACGTAATGTAACTTAAAGTAACGTTACGTAACTAAGTGTAGGTGGTTTTTGGACTGACTAAAGTCAACTAAAACCATTAAAAAAAATCTTATTAAAAGAAACTTTAACTGAAATAAAATAAAATTGAAATAAAAGTGTAAAAAACCTTAAACTTACATTTTATTTCAGCTAGTTGCCAAGGCAACATTTCCCATTTTTGTTTAGCTTGCTTAGAATACTAAAATAACAGAAAATGTAACAGAATATAAAAAAAAAAAAAGAAAATTATATTAACATGACAAAACCACAACAAAATGAATAAAACTTTAACTGAAATTAAACTGAAAACAAAGAATATAAAAATAGTCTAATTCAAAATATTAACAAAAAAAGTAGGGCTGTGCAAAAAATCGAATGTGATTTTCATGCGCATCTCATCAGTAAAGCCTCTCCCGTGATTAGTAGTAAATCTGCAGCACGTGCTTTCAGATGGAGCGGCGTTTACTACACAGAGCCGTAGTTCACTCACAAGCTACACGAAATCGCGTTCAAAATCGGCAATGAATCGCCTGTGATTTTGTGTAGCTTGTCAGTGAACTACGGCTCTGTGTAGTAAATGCCGCTCCACAGCCCTACAAAAAAGTATATTATATTATTATATAGTATATCAATTACACTACAATAACACTGCTGTTATACAGAACAATAACTAAACTTCTTCAAAAGTGTAAGATATGGCCTTTTAAAGAAGAAGAGCTGATCCCAGATCAAGCTCTGCTGATCTCTCACCGGTGGGCTCTTTAGGGCAGACGTCCGGTAAGGAGCGCGCCGTTCGATAGTGTCTGGGGGCCATCGAAGGGTCCCTGGGCTTCCGGAAGAGCCCATCGCTGGTGCCGCCGCTGGACTGAGGGATCGGAGACGAGCCCTGATTAGAGGACATCACTGCGGATCCCTCACATACGAGGCTGACTGGAAGGAGAGCACAAGAACACACGTCAACTTCCTGTCAGCACAGGAAGTACCTGTCTTTTAGGAGAAAAGCACTAGATTTCCCTTCAAACTAATGTCAGATTGGTTTAAACAGTTAACAGTGTAATACTAAATGTATCAGTCGAATGATGGGAAACGGTTTTAAACATGACAAAATTCCCCTTGACTTCTCACATAGTCGTGTTATTAATATAATCAGCAAAATATCTGTTCCGCCCACACCGAGAGAACAAAAACAAGCGAGTCAGAGTGAAAAACATAAAGAGGAAGATTAATTCAGATGCACACACACCCCTAACGTCCTGCAGCGGCGTGTTCGGACCAGATTTCACACCTGAGTGAGCAGACAGAGAGAAAACTGCAGCCTGAGCCTGGATTTGGACTGTGATCCTGGACTAGTGTGAGGGTGAGATCTGAATCAAAGCAGCGGATGGAGAGAGCGGCACACGTCTGCTTTCTAATATTCAGAATGAGAAACGAAAGCGCTGCGGTTTGACTTCAGCTGCTGCCGAGTCAGAGAGCAGGAAGAGCCCAACCAACTCTAGAAAGACTCCTGCAAGCAACCACATGCTCATCCTGCACAACTCACCCAAGAGCCTGTCGAGAACTTACTCCAGTCATATTTCACTCAAAGATTAAAATGAAAAACAATGCTTTATGTAAAGAAAATGTATCCTTTTTTTTATGTAAAGAAAGTGTATTTTTATGATAACTGATCACATTTCTCTATTGTAAAAATTAACCAGACTTTTGTATTGTTAATGTTTCCAAAACAACAACATTTACATTCATATATGTACTTTCTTTTAAAAATAAAAGAATACCTTCTTTTTCTATTTTCAAGAAAGATATCGAATTCTTTAAATAGCTCAACTTTATTATATAGTTTATTCATTCTGTCTCATTCATTCATTTTTGGGCTTGCAATTCATGCATTTCTGTTCATTTGTTCATTCAGCTTTCTTTCTCAATGTCTTTATATATATATATAAAAATTGGTGAAATAAATACTACATTTGATATATTTTAAATAATAAATTTTTTGAAGCACGAGTTATTAACGTTGTTCTTTAGGAATTATACAAAAATATTTCAGAGAAAATGCAACAACAATAAAGTTTTCAACCATTATGTAATATAATATAATATAATACACTTTAGTGCATTTCATGAATAACCCTTTTAGGATATTTAGTTTATTGTCTTTATGCTTGTATGTTGTTCTTTGTTGCAAAATAAAATAAATACAGTAATTTAAATAGTTTTTTCCTCATTCATTGTCTGCCTTTTCTGTCACATTTTATTCATTAATTGATTTTTTAATTATGTCTTTTCCTTCATTCAGCTATCTTTCTCTATTTTTTTCTGTATAATGTCTATCTATATTTTTTAAAAACAGGCGGAAGAAGTCATTTATTGAAATATGATCTATAACTTTATTCTTTAAGAATGATACAAAAACATTTCTGAGAAAATGCAACAACAACAGAGTTTTAATATGACATACATTATAACATAATATAACAATAACCTCATTTCAAACTCATTGTTGATGAAAATCATTGGTATTTTTTCAAGGGGATAATCTACGGCAGTTTGTAACAAGCACAAAAGAAAGGAGAGCAATTGAGAAAACACACACACTCAGTCCAGCAGCCCCTGAAAGATCAGTCTCACGCACTTGCTGTCGCGGGCGAGCGGCCGCATGCAGAACGGGCAGGCGGGGAAGAAGCCGCGAGCGCCGTGAGGCAGCACCAGTTTGCTCCAGAAGGCGGCCGTCCGCTCTGAACACACGTGTCCGCAGGGGTTAAAAGCGTGCGTCGGAGGCGCGCTGTCCAGATAAAAGCCCGACTCGCGGCCCAGCTTCAGCGGCACGTACAGGCTGCGTGTGCGGCACAGCGGACACTCGCGCTCCCCCTCCCGCAGCGGCTCCTGCTCCAGCTCCTCTTTGCTCTCGGACTCGTCCTCGTCTTCCTCGGTGGAGCCCTCTTTGGCGAGGCGGCGGCGGCCCCTCCAGGCGTGGTATCCGTGCACGTGTCCGCAGTGCAGGTAGGCCCAGGGCTGCTCGTCGTGGGTCGAGCCGGTGAAGGAGCGGTCCAGGCTGGGGAAGGCCAGGGTGTGGAGGCCCACGGGACACTGCGGCCGCGCCGCGTTCAGCTCCCGCCGCAGCACCTCCAGGTGTTTGGGGGACGGCGTGCAGGACAGACCTTCCGCCGAACGCCACAGCAGAGTCGCGCCGCACAGATCGATTAAAGTGCCGTCCACCAGCTCGTGAGACTCATTCTCAACCTACAGAGAGAGAGAGAAACAGAAAAACATATATGTTTTATAATTAGTGGTGACTGCTCACTTTACTATTGCTTGCTCATACATACTGACTGAACCAAACCCTGTGTAACTTTGCAGCATTTCTGTGTGAGCCCAAAATATACGACAATCAATACAATATTAGTTCATATTATTGAATATTGATGGAGCAATTAATTGCACACTTATTGATGTCTTATATTGAGTATATTTGACAAATTTATGTATATAAGAAAAAAAATTCTTTAAAAATAAAAATATTTTTCATTGTATGCTTTTTTTATATTTTATATTATTTTTTAAATATTTTATATTTTTAAAGATGTCTTATGATGATCAAACCAATATTACACTATGTATTATTCTTGGGTTGTATGCGAAAGTTCTTTAGATTGTTTGAGAAATTAGTGAACTAGATTTATTCATATATTTTATATATTCACTAAAATTAAATGGAACATGTAATCCAGTGGGAAGGCATTTACATACTTTCTATAAATATATAACTATATAAAATAAACAGTTTATAATTATATAAATTTTCATATATTTTATATATTCACTAAAATTATTTTATAACTGAAAATGTTTATGATCCATCGACAAGGCCAGCATTTGGAACTGACACAAGGGAAAATAGCCAATTCTGTTAATCATGCGAGTAGGATAATCATATAATGGTCAGATATCAGGCAATTTATGTGTCTGGTTAATATAACCATCTATCAGTAGTTTCTTTCCCAAATTTCAATCTGCTCCGACTCTAAGCATTCACTAGAGGCCGCTCTCATCCACACGACCTCCTTCACAAACATGAGAGTCAGTAAATGTAGAGCGAGTCCATACAGAGTCAGAATGGAACAAAGCCCAAACCACATCCACTATTTAGAGAGCACAGAATATGCACCTCAGGTCTACCGTCTCAGTCAGCCAGGACACACAAATCCAGCCCACATCGCCAAACACAGCTACCAGCAATATACACACGAGATTACACAGGTGTGCCATCACAAATGCTGCACTTCCACAATTCACAGCACAAACATCGTTAACATGACAGATTTATTAAAAGCTGCATCTCACGAAAATGGATGTGGTTTTATATATATATAAATAATGCCGCAATGCACAAAAAACTCCTATATAAACAGGGTTATTACAGTTAACAAACTAAAAGCATAGAAAAGTTGTTACTTAAAATAAAATGACCATTAACTGAACTAAACTCAGATGAAACATATATATATATA